CTCCCGCGCGGGAGCGCCCCCTCAGCGGCAGCGGGGACGCCGCAGCCACAGCGGAACCGAGCGCCGGCAAGCGCCAAAAAGGGTGAACTACCGCTTTGCGGGAGTAGAGGGTGATCTCGCCCGCTTGCTTGGGGCCTGCTGCAGGCCAAGGGGGGGTTTAGGTTCTTCACCGTTATTTACTTATTATCCCGAGTGAAAAACTCTTCAGCGCTATTTTGTGAAGAACTAGAGCACCTTATGAAGCAGAGCCTAAGGGAAGTGTTGTATAACTAGTTGCCAAGACACAGACTGAGCGGGACAGGCTTTGCCTTCCTCCCTCCCTCGCTACTCAGGGTAGCGTGCCAGGAGAAAGTGCTTCAGAGGCTTCATGGAGGAAAAAAGGAAACTACTTTGGGTTTGTCTGCCCCCCCCGCCCAAAGTGCTTTTGTGAAATCGCTGTTGTCACATTCAAACACACCATGGCTTTAGATCCTAAAGCAGTGTCTGTCATACACCCTGTTAATGCAATAATCCTCTGGAGCTCATTGAAGCCACTTTTTTTTTTTGTTACAGAGACCAAGACATTGCATGAAGCAAAACATCCAACCACAAAAGGACTTTCAGAAAGTCTCCTACTCATTCTTGGTTTATTCTAGACTTGAGCATGACTACTTTTAGCATCTCCAAACCACACAGCCACTTGTTCAAAGTCATTAGATTTTCAGATTCTTAAACAACAAAAAAAATTTGTAACAAAAATCAATTAAGTGGTATTAAGAAGCACTTCCTTTGAAATCAGCAGGTTTCACCACGTACCTTTTGGTGTCCTGGTTTGAAAAAGTAGTAAGACACTCATTGGAGAATTTATTCCTATACTGGATTCATGTCTGACACATCATACATGAGGGTATTCACCTCACAAAAATACATTAAAAGTCATCCTAAAGATAATGAATTTGTATCACGTTGCAGGATCTTATAAAGAAAATAGGAACACAAAGGCTAATTTGCTATAAAATACAATTCACTTGAACTATAAACACTTCACACATTTGTCACAGTACTTGCACTTCATAGTTTTTACTCCTAGGATGACAGTGCATACTCCGTTACTCACCTTTTGCTGCTCACTTATGAATAATAATTAACTGGGTTTGAGTACACAAATCACAACTCATTTCTTCAAAAAAGAACTTGTGGTTAGACTGCCAGAAGTGCTTTCACAAACACTGCAATAAATAGCAGCTTTTTGAAACCACTCTGTTCTTGCCTAACAACTCCTTCTTGTAAGGCTTTTTACTTCTTTTAACAGCTTTTATTTTAGATCCTCTTTGCATGACAAAAATATTTTATTTCCTTCTGCCTCAAGCCTCATCAGAATTAACTAAGTTTGAACATTATGCAAGTTCTGTCAATTAAAAAATAGAAGTCTAATGGAAATAACACTGTCAAAGTGTAACAGAAAGCAATGTCATCCTAGAAAGCTAATGAAGGTGGGGGTACGGAAAGGCTTCACCCAAATTTGTCATGCGAGGCTGGAGGATTTCAGATGGCCTATGCCCCTTCCTTACTTATTTGTGGAAACAGCATGAGCACATGAAGTCAGCATGCCATTTCTGTATCTATCAACAGAGGAAAAAACTATTTGTTCATGACAAATTAGCCAAAATGTTGCTTAATAAAAATAATAAAAATGCATTAGAACAAAATTGTTTGGGGTATTAATCTTGCCTTCCTGTATTTTCTGCATCTCGGAAAAAAAGAAAAAAGTGCTTCAGACATTAAAAAAAGCAGGGTATTCTTGCATGATTAATAGGGATTCTTTCCAACTGAACATAATATTTGGTACCTATTTTCTCCCTACCAGTCACTGGTATGTAAAAGTGTAGCCATATCTGTATGTGTTTGCCCAGTTGTATTGCAAGTGAAAGTTTTACCCAAAGGAGTTTTAACTGAAAAAAATATTTAAAGAGCCTGAGTTGCAGGAAAACAACACGTTTTCAAATGTGGCTCTGTGTGTAAACAGTTGGTCTACAGGCCAGAGAATGCCATTTATCGGAGAATTGGGCCAAGTGATACTCTGAAAAATTTCACCCTGTGATTACATTTCTTGACTTAATTTTAACATTTCAGCCAGTCATGTGTTGGAAACATTCCGAATGTTATAATTCTCTGATTACAAGCACTAGATATGAAAGACAAAGTTTTTATTTTAAATATAATCAGTTTTAAAAACAAACAGTAACTTCAGCGTAATCAAACACAAAGCACTTTCACACAAAGCAAGTTATATCCTGCATTTGTCTGTCTAAAATAAGTTTAACAAAGCAATTTACTTTGGCGCATTCTGTAGATAATTCCATACACAAGAGAACAAACACAGGCTTTGTATTTAAGGAAATTTAAGTATAGAAGGGGCAGCAGAAAGTTTTGCAGAATGCTTAATTAGATGGAATAGCTGCCAACATTATGTGTCCTATTCTCAATCCATAAGAGGAATTTAAAGAGATGCAACGGACTGTGCTCATAAAACAAAACAAGGAAAACCCCACGTAATTATTTTTTTGGTCAGTGTTCTGCATTCTGGTGCCACCACCTCAGATTTTCCAACAGTCACTTTGTAGAGAAAAGGGGAGCTAAGGGAATAACAGACTTGCTCACCAAATGAGTATCCAGCACAATTATCCAGACCAGACTGACATGGGTACTAAAAAAACTAAAAATCCTCCCCACCATACAAGCAAACATGAAGTTTGGAAACACTGCATGCTTCATTGCTTCTTCCTGTCTTGCTCTGATGATAAACTGACAAGAAGTACATTTTTGTGAAATCCAGTGGTGGTGGGGAAATACTGCTTTACAGCAACGCACGTGACTCGCTAAGTTAGAATCAGCGCCTGTGTCATCAGAACAGAAAATTCAATGGAGCATCATGGCCCTTAAAAAAACATCAGAAGCATTACGGTGGTGCAGCAGAAGACAGAAAACACAAGCTAGTACCGCATCATCAAAGCCGAAAGCTACAAAACTACCAGCTTTTTATCTCCATCATTCTCTTGCCAGTTAGTAGCTCCTGATGTAAATTCTTACGGTACAGGGAGCCATATGATCAGAAATCTTTTCCAAATGCACAAGGAAGCTCTTAAACCACTTGCAGACTGACCCACAAGCAGCAGCAGTTTACAATAACTAATTAACGCAAGGCCTAGAGGTTGTATTTGTGATCCATGTAACTCCTGGATTTCAAACATGAAGTGTTGAAAGACTTTTCAAAAGTTAACTTATACCAAATATTTATAGAAGGCACATTTGGCAATGACAGCAAATGCAGTATTTTTTATTTGTATTTATTTTAGCTTTTTACTTTTACAGAGATTAATACAGTGTTAGCATCATAGCCTTGTTTAAACACCCATCTGCCTTTTCTAGACAGGTATCATTCAAAAGCATCAAGATATTACTTGAACCAAGTCCACTGCTTATGGCATGGTAAGATACTTCAACCTTCAGAGCCTCATTCCCTAATTTTTTCGTGATCGTCTTAAATAAGCATATCCAGCTCAAGTTTCTGAAAACAGAACTTCTCTTTCATTTAGAAAAAAAAAAGTACAAGTCTAAATAATAATCAGAGAAACTCCTTAACAAACACGTTACCTTCTTAATGAAGAAACAGTAATTAACAAACAGATCAACAATTAAAAGCACAGGTCCTGTATCTGTGTTTTGCAGGTGCAATTCAAGCCTTAAGATAAGGCTGAGGCTTGTTTATGATCTATCAGTTAACTTACATAAATGTAAAAGGAAGTTTTCCAATGCTATAGCCAACGCTCTATGGGCAGTTCCGCTGGGGTGGGAGAAGAGAACACTTCAGACTTATAAATCATCAGTAAAAAACACCAAAACACGCTGAAAAAATATCTATTAAAAATTCCTGTATGAACATCTTTACTGCAGAGTAGAGATATGACTAGACTTAAAACTGGCAAGGAAATTCAGGTACTAGATTGAATTACCACTGACGCACAATAACCTGAGTTGTCCATTTGGTAAAGCAGCCTCCAAGAAGGAAGAAGCCTTTAGGTTTGGTTCTCTTTCAATTAAGAAAGTTTTAAAGTGAATTTTAGTGCTCATGAAGATGCCAACAAATCACTTCTTTTGTCAAAGAAGGGCTCCTGTCTCAGAGGCAAGCAACTCCCTGCCAGTTTGTAAACAGTGCTGTTGCAAAAGCATCAACACCAAGCATGAGACCGTATAGGTCTCCACAGACATTCTCCTCTTGGTCTGTGCCGAGACTGTAAGCAAGCACACCAGTGTGCAACATGATTGCGACAAGATTAACTGAAGAACATCACCAACCTGTTTTGCATAAAGCAGAAAGGGAAAACATTTAGTTGCTATCAACTGGTGCTGGACTGAGTGGCCCATAAAGATTACATATACTTTTTACAGACCTAAGTCAGAATCCCCTCAAACAAATTCTTATTCAAACAATCTAGGCAATAAACATTACTTTTGATTGGTTTCCAGTGACAGGATGCACAGAAACAACCAGAAGTCTCCATGAAGTTTCAGAAAGGGCTTGTAGAGGTGTTAACTCCATCAATCAATTATCAATGTTTAAACACTGCCTATAAACGTTTGTAAGAACCAAGAAGAGCACTGCAGTTCGGACAGGTGTGATCCACATCCTTTAGAGCATCAATGCAGAAGGGAATTAAGCAGCAGCCAGCTATACACCTGCAAAGAAAAAAAAACACCCAAACAATCTGTTTTACCACTTGTTACATAAACAAGAAGGTAAAATATATTTCCTGCAAAAGCCATCAGTAAAACTGGTGCCATGAAGCTTTAGGAAGAATACACATGGCTATGGAGTCCATCACTCTAGTGTTCTAGAGCTGCTTTAAGGTCCTATAGGACTTAAATGCAGATGCAGGCTATTCAAACCATAAAGGGTCAGTTCCCAGACAGAATGAGAAAGCAACAAAGCTGAGAGCTTTCTTACTCCTTAGAGCTATGAAAGGTCATGTAAGAACAGAAAAATGAAGTGCAAACTAGAATCAACCTACCCCAGCAGACAGAGGCCACCGCATGACAGCCAAGTCAAAGCTCCCGAGTCATACGAGAGACGTGTCACTATCATCTGGTTACAGGAAGGGCAGCACATCTGAACTGGGCGGTCATAAAATACTACTGGTTGCTGCACATACACTGTCTGAACTGTAACTGAGCAGAGAAACATGCTGTTTACTCAATGGGTAAATAAGGAAAAAAGGATAATTAATCAACTTCCTCTAAGCTAGAACCAGCTATTACTCTGAAATATTTGAGGCTCAGAGCAATGAAATGCACAATGACAAAGAGAAGTCACCATGGCATTTCCTAATGCAGAAACACACCATCTTAAGAATAAGTCTGCATTAAAAACTGCAGAAAGCCAAATGATGTTATAGATATTAGCGCACACTGAAGGATTCACAAGAATTGATTCACCTTATTCCCTTCAAAATTACTTTTTGGAAGGTGAGGAACACCTGTGAACCCCGATCTTTAATCTTCTGCACAGCACCTATTACATAGCCACTTGACACCTCCTTAACATCAGGTACAGTAGAGTTTTTCAGACTTACCAGGGTTATTCACTGGTGCAGGCTGTCCCATGTATGGGGGGGGGTACATTCCCTTCCCATCTGGTTTCTGGCCAGGTTCTGGGACAGGGTAGGGGTGAGGATAGCTGACATTGATTCCTGTTGTTTCCTCATAAGAAGGTGGGGCAGATGGGACAGGGACGCCACTCGGGGCAGACATTGTATCTGAAACATAATAGAGAGAAAATTATAACAAAAGACATTATTTATTGATGGCAAGTGACAATTAATTAGGCTCTATTCAGACAGAAAGCAAGAAGGTAACTAGATTAAAATGCACTTTTACCAGCATAAAATTTATTGACTTATTTGTTTCTGACAGTATTAAATGTTAATCTTGATTTCATTGTTGTTGTTGCTTTCTTCACTCTTCCTTTTCACAGAATAGTTTTTACACATTTTCCCACCACCAATTCTTCCTTTATAAATTAAAAATGCTACAACAGGGACATGGGGCATCTTTATGAGTATACTAAGTTATCTCGCAGTTTCTCCCAGTTCTCCAAGAACAGTATTTCAGATCCACCCCCCATTCTCCTGAAAAGAAAAAAAAAAAAAAAAAAAAAAAAAACAACCAACAAACAGTATGATAGGCCACATGGTAGTTACTAACTAACATGAGCCTGGTTTGTGGTGAAGCTCAAATATTTAAAAAAGACTATTTATCTCTGCTGCGGTTTGAAATGAAGAAATATTTATATTGAAGGAAAAAGAAACCCCAAACAATTAAGTACAACCAACTCAACCCTCAAATATGTCTAAGGTTGCCATTTTTGCTGCTTACCAAAGTTTCAATGAGTTTGTTAATGCAACTTTCCTCCACAAATTGTTATTTCATTACAGAGTATAAGAATGCTAACCATCGCCTTTTCCCAAAGTGGAAAGAAATGATTGCGATTTCAGCACAGACTTATTCTTTCCCCCCGGCTATCCACTTCCTATACTCTGCCCACCAATTTCTTTGTTGAACAATCTCTCACAGCATCAATGCTGATTAAGCATCTCTCTCTCTCTCTTTCCTTCTAAGAACCATCAGACAGCTCTGAGAGCCAGTTTCCCATACAGTGGCCTAAATAATCCTTTTACTTTTAAGCTAGAATGATTAATTTATCAGAGAATTTATTATTCCAAAGTAGAAATAACTGTTGTGAAACTATGCATCTACAACCACCTTCTCCCAGATTGCCTCATTTGATTCTGTTTACAGTGCAGATGAAGTCCGGAATTTGTTTGCTGTTTTCATATATTGTAATGCTTAAAAGCACCAGTTTAACAACCAACTGCATCAACAAGATTCATCCCAGGAAAGAATGTAGGTATTTTGTGCACAGACCTGGAACTTTCCTACTGCATATTCTGAAAAAGGATCTTCTCATCACCATTTCAAGACATTTGTGTAACAGCCACCCTGAGGTCAAAGCATCCTGGACTTCTAAATTAACACATGGAGTCCTACTATTATTGAGCTATGAAAGAACTGCCTAATGAATCTCCTTTTTCCTTTGTCTCCTAAAATCTGGCCTTTTGTACTGTTTAAAATGCACCTCTTTACACCTATCACCCAATAAATATATCACATTCTTCATTCAGAAGAACTGATCACTTTGGCAGCTAGACTGCAGAGAAGAATCCAGCAGATCTACCAGACCAGAAGCTGAATATAAGCTGACAGTGCCATGAAAGTGGCAAACACCATGCAGGGTCGCGTAAGCAAAACCAGTACCTGTATGACAGCTGAAAAAGTTCTGCTGCTCTGGGAAAGCCCCCATCAGAGTACAGTATCTAAGAAACAAATAGGTGAACAGATTCCAAAGAAAAGCACCAAGAACAATCATAAAGGCTAGAAGACTTCTGAGAAAAAGCCAAGGAAATTGAGTTTCTTTAGTTTCAAAAGAAGACCAGAGAGAATAATGAAGACAGACAGAGAGCAATGAAGAAGAACTAAACAAACTCCTCTGAGAGTAAACTTTAAGGAAAACTTTAAGAGAAATTTTAAAATAATAAGCTTTTCCCTATGTCTATTAATAAGACTACTTAAGCACTAGATAAATTGGCAAGAGAGTTGTGGAGCCTTCCCTCCTTTAAGTTTTAAGAACAGTTACACATGTCAGAAATTACATGTCATTCAGCATTAAGTGGATTAGAGAACCTCTTCACATCCCTTCAACTGTATTTTGCATTATTTCAACACTGGCTTTTGAAAATAAATGCAACGCCTTTTAATTTTAAACACCTACTTTTATGTACGCTGTTTCAGAAGCGAGGTGCTACATCTTCTGAAGAAAGTAAGGCCCAATCCTGAACAGACTGCTTGCAAACCAACCCTCTGCCCCTAGAGCTCATTGCAAGACTGGGTCTAGAACAAACTGAAAACCAGCTTCCTGTACTTAAAACACCACCACCACCCACCAAACCAACCACGATTATAGAGTTTCTCAGTATCAAACTTACTCAAGCTTCAGATAAGGTAGTAACTGCAGTAAATTGATATGGCAATAAGCATTAACCCAAGGATTAGATAGTAATGAAAACAAAGGCGAGAGGGACATTCTAGAAAGGAATTTCAGCATTTTATTTTAGCTTAGGCAAGACTTACAGCCTGGGTTAATAAGTAAGCTGCGTGTTATACTTCCCTATGGAGTCTCTTAAGGCATAAGAGATTAATAGATGTTATTAGACATCTCTTAGTCTTAAGGCATTAATAGACTTTCCATAGTTTCTATTTGCACTTTGCTCCCTACAAATAGGTACAGAGCAGCTTATAACTTTAATCATAGTATGTTTTACAGATACATTCTTATATAAAATACCACTGATAAAGACATGTCTGGGAAGAGCAACTAATGCATAATGCCTGATTACAAAAAGGACAAAAGGTTAATATTTATATGATCTGGGGTTGGTTTGTAAAAGTGATACAGAATCTTAGGCATCCATATAGGATAGGGAAGACTTGAATTTCTAACACCTTAACAAATGTACCCAGCTACTTACGGAACAGCAGCTCTTTACTAGTTGAAAGATAAACAGGCACAAGCAAGCTGATGGCAGAAGCAGAAACTGAACCCACAAGTTTTGTCTTCTTAAAGCAGACTCTCAAATGCTGCTCCCAAATAATTCAAAAGGAAAGACTGTTTGGTGATAGGTACCTGACTGCAAGTAAAGACAAAGGATAAGACGGGTAACAGGGAAGTCAAGTACACAAAGTTATCTGGAGGTAGCGTATATGCAAACCATTAAGCAACATTACAGCTGTCTCAAACCAGGATATGCAGTCATTGAAAGATCAACAAGCACACTAAATACAAGACTGGGCCTTTTACACCGATACACGAGAAGCTTCCATTTACATCTGGAAGTTTCAGGACCAAACACCACTAAGCACAGAGAAGAACTGAGTAGTTCTAGCTTCTCTTCCCAGACTCTCGTTACTCTTTTGCTTTGAGTCTTTAGAAATGCATGGGGTAAGACAAAGACCAATGGCTTCAGCTATCCATCCCACATCATTCTTCTGCTCTTCATAAAAACCTCTTGTATTCCAGGTGCGCAATGGTGAGGTGGACATTGACTCACTGCGCCAGCTGCACTCTAACTTTGGGCAGATGAGTCACCAGACTCCAGAGAACTATTAATAAAGCAGCAAAAGCACCAGCTCCCTCCTCCAGATTTTTCTTTTTTGTTCATTTGCTCAAGAGAAAGAATCACAAGCTGCGAGCACTTTTCTTGCCCAAATCATTTCCTTCATAAGTACACATTGGAACAACACTGGCATGGGGCAAAGCACCCTTCCAATTCATTCTGCAGAGGTCTATTGCTCTACATACAGAGCAAAGTTGGCATAAAGGGAGGGAAAAGGCTGGTAAAAGCCACAGCATTCACAAACCACTCTATTCAAACAAAACCAGATTAGTTACTTATGCTAGCTGGAGACCAGGAAGACAAGTAACAAATTCTACCAGCAGAACGATGCGTGGATACCCTTCTCTCCAATGGAGAGTGCAGCACAGCTCTATATCACTTTTACAACTGCACTAAAGCTACATGAATTTGGGGGAACAGAAGCCTTTTGAAACTGTTGAATACTTAGTAAGATGTGCAGCAGTTTTTGCAGGGTTTTGCATTTTGCAAAATCATATTTCAGCTAATTCAAATGCTCCCCTCCATTTTAATTCCTAAACTCTACTCCATGCAGCAATCTGAAACCAGAAGCAGAGTCTGCATTTGCTCCCTACCCAGAACTGCCAATTTTAACACCGCAAGAGAATTTGCAGGCTGTACCTGAAAAAAAAGCACAACACCTGGCTAAACTTTCCTTTTATCTTGCTATTGGAGAAAATGAATTAAGTGAATCAGAACTTCTAGGGTAACTTATCTAAAGAACTTATTAACCAAGCATTCATAAAGCCAAGATTCTTACAGCCTTCTATCACGGGCTTCGGGGCTTGTATCTGACTAAAATAATCCAAAATAAAACTTTGACTTGAAACCAGAAGTATGCTTAGAGGCAGCTTCACATTGCAGAAGGATTCAGCGGGGTTGTATCTCATCAGACAATTGTCCAATAATGTTTATGTAACTAAAACATAGGCTATGACCTACACAGTTTTTTTTAAATAGCTGCATAGCATTCCTCAGCACACCCTCCCCACAATGTGGGTTTGTAAGAAGTTGGGCAGTTTCTTCAGAATGCTAATTTAAGTATCAAACTGTAAAACCTAGCGTAGATGAGGAAGACTCTTACTCTGACCTTCTTCATCAAGATGAATACAGGCATTACAGGGACGATAAGAACAAACATATGTTTACCACAGTCCAGAAGCTACACAGGTCTCACTTAATGTGCCCAAAACAATAGGTTGCCCTGTGATAACCTATACCTGCTACATCTCCCAGATAATACATATTCACACGTTAACTTATGCCATTGTCTGTTCTAGGAAGGGAAATGTATTCAAGATTACCTTCCTCCCAAGGGGCAGATTTACTGCAAGAACATTAGGGCACCATTATCTGTGTCATGCTCCCAAATACAGAGATGCACAAAGCTACAGGGCTGCAGCCATCTTCCCCCTCCCTCCTCACACTCCATTCATGATGCAGACCACTTAGGGTCAGAGTCTGGCTCACATGCCTTTCATGCATCTTCACCTAGTGATAATCACCATAACCATAAATTGTCCTCTCCGCATCCAAAACTGAACACATTTATTACTATTTTCTCACTATAGGATGCATCCCCCATCTTATGATATTTTTTTATATTGCCCAGATTGATATGTTAACATTATATAGTTTAAAACTGCAGCCTTTTTCTGAAGACAGGATGCAAATACATATTCTAAGAATGCAGAGAAATACCTTTTGCCCACGAACAAATGGGAAAAAGAAAAAAAACGGGAGGGGGAACAAGTCAAAAGTGGAAAGGTAAGTCAAGTTTCATTCATGCCTTACCCAACAGTTACAGATGAATCATTAGGCAACAATTTTTTTAATCCCACCTGGTTTCCTGACCTGCACAAGAGTCTAGTAGAAATGGATTCCACAGCAGCACATAAGTAACAGCAACAGCACCTCAAGAATAACTGTGGGTAGATGAGATCTCTGCCCTTATCAGGAGGGGAAAAGAAAAAGTTCTGCGCAGTCCTCACACTAACACACCACGCAAGGAGAAACTTATGTACAGAACTGTTGCTCCTGGGAGGCTGGAGAAGATGGAGGAAACTAGAGTCATCCCTCTCTCCCTGTCCAGCCAAACCTGAGCCTGGCACCTGCTTTTAATGCAATAGCAAGTACTGCCCTTCTAAGAATGGAAGGGCAAATACACTTACTACCTTATAGAACAGTTTTCCTTATCTGAAATCTTCCTTAGCCACTCAGGTACAGACCAAAAATGCTCTGCTTGCTTTTAAATAGGCTCCCCTGAAACTAAATAATTGCATCTGTATTTGCTTGAAGTCCTTTCAAAACAAACGTTAGTATAAAGAAAATATAATTTTTAGCTTAAATCAGAGTGTATGTCTGTCTCAAGAAATTTTTATAGAAGATAAGCATAGTTAGCTATATGGAAGTTTGAACTAAGAACATTTTCATTGTTTGGTATGGATTTACAACTTCCCTATTTTATCAAAAGAAATTCATATCCTTAAAACAGTGCAATAGCAAATGTCCTAAATCAATCTAAGGCTATTTCTGCCAAAAGAAACATCCAATTTGCCACTTTGGCTGCCTACCACTATGGAGCGAGGTTTTCAGCCATATCAGTTCCTTAGTCTCACCAGCTACACAATAGCATAAATGCTAGTGGTACAAGGGGAGATGGCAACAACATTCATGCAAGGGAACGTAAGCAGATCATGAAACCAGACCCAACATCTCAGACCATGTTTTCACTTTCATAGAGCATCACTCCAAAACTTAGAATCAATACATATGCCCTCTCAGCAAGAGGAGGGACGTTTCCATAACACACATTTATTAGGATGAAAAGAAGTACATAGTTTATTTTTATCTTCCACTGTAAGGAATGTTGCTGAATGTGAATTTATCTGAATGCATTACATGAAATTGCTTTCTAGAGAATTTTTACTGAGACATACAACACACTAGCAAAGATGCCATGCAAGACAAGGCAAGAATACAAAAATAAAATAGCCAGATATAGGCTTATCCAAGTGATGAACAAGGTGGCTTATCATCAAGAAAGCATACTTTTTATAAGAGCGTAAGAAGTGATTATTTTCTTAGATGTCTTAGCAGTTTTCTTTTTTGGGGGGATTTTTATTGAATGGTGTATATGTTGGATGAAAAGAAACAAGACATATGTAAATTCAGTCATTTATGTTTGGGTGCAAGACAACGGATCTCAAGGAGGGACATACTAGCTTCTATCCAGGATGAAGACACAGTGGTGGGCACCACCTGTTGGGAGCACAGCAAAGGAGTTGGCAGGAGAAATGGGGCTGGAGGAAGGCTGCAAAATAGCATGGCATGTGAGGGGCTTCAGCTGAGCAAGGGAGCAGACACCACTGAGAACAAAACCAAAAGATGCACATGGTTGCCAGGAGCACAAGAGCCAAGCCGCTGTCTCCCTGCCATTGCCATCCAACCCTGAAAGCTTGCAGCTTGTCTCAGAAACTCCTGCCAGCAGACTCTCGACTCCTGCTGCTCTATTCCCAGCCCAACTGCCCTCTCCTGGATATAATGTTCTTCACATATCCCCACTGTACAAGCTTATTCCAAGAAGCTATGCACCTCAATTTGAAAGGCATTACCTAAGCAGGCCTCAAAGTGCAGAGTACAGCACAGCCTGCACTGAGCAGGGAGAGAAACGTGGAAAAAAAGTCTCACTAAGAAAATTAAAGGGCGGGGGGAGAAGTTTGATTTACTTGGATTGTTGCATGTTTGTTACACACGGCAGAAAGTTGCTGGCTATAGATGACTGTGATATCTGATCTTTTAAGTCCAGGAAAACACCCACTGGGAATACCAGCAGAATCTGTAGGCAGTGCACACAAGGGCAAAGAATATTGTAAGATAGTTGGAAGGAAAACAGAAGCTACAACTGGACAGTTTTTACTAGAAGCAAACAAAAGGTACAGTAAATGAGGCAAATAATGCAGAATTTCCCCGTTGGGAAAACTTCCCCCACCGTAGCTGGCTGTAAATAATTCTTTAACAAGAACAGAGGTAGGAAACACACTTTGGAATAGAAAGCTGTAACAGAATACAAAGTCAAAGGGCCTTGAACAATCTCACCTAAGTAGGTCCCAAGCAGGCAGCTAATCCAAATGACCTCCGGAGATCCCTTGTGCAACCTAAATTACTCTGTAATAACCCAGAAAACAGAAGTTAGGTTACTGTATGTCATAGTTTAACCTCAGCTGGCAACTGAGCACCACACAGCCGCTCACTTGCACCCCCCACCCCACCCCACCCCCGGTGGGATGGGGGAGAGAATTGGAAGAGTGAAACTGAGAAAACTCATGGGTTGAGATAAGAACAGTATAAGTATTTTATTTCAATTATTAAACTAATAATAATAATATCCAAAGCAAGTGATGCACAATGCAATTGCTCACCACCCGCCAACCGATGCCCAGCCAGTCCCTGAGCAGCGGCCCCCCCGGCCAGCTTCCCCCAGTTTATGTGCTGAGCATGACGTCACATGGTGTGGAATGTCCCTTGGGCCAGTTTGGCTGTGCCCCCTCCCACCTTCTTGTGCACCTGCAGCCTTCTCAGTCGGTAGAGCATGGGAAGCTGAAAAGTCCTTGGCTAGTGTAAGCACTGCTTAGCAACAACTAAAACATCGGTGTGTTATCAACATTGTTCTCATCCTAAATCCAAAACACAGCACTGTACCAGCTACTAGGAAGGAAATTAACTCTATCCCAGCTGAAACCAGGACACCATACTAGAAAAAGATTACAAAGGTCCAGTTCTGTTTTTATCCATACACTAAAGACTAAATTTTGTCATAACTGATGCAAAAGATACCAGTCATGACGTAAACAAAACAAATTCATTTGCTTTAATGACTTCTTCACTGAGGACAATTCTCCAGAAAACTGCCTTAATTGCTGGGCTGTCTCCATTGCTGCCAGCTTGGTTCAGGTCAGAGAAGCACTAATTCATCCCAAGTACAGAGACTGGCAGCAACAATAGGAACTGTATGGCTATTAAATACTCCTTCTGCCCCAAGTACTGTTGTACACCTAGTGGAACGCAGATTCTGGATCAGTATCTTGATATCAAAAAGGAAGCTGGGTTTTATAAGCGGACCTGACATTTTTTTTCCTTACTTCACAAGGCATAATGTAAATATATCTACTTGAGAACACAGGAATGTCAGACCATTTTAAGACAAGCTTGATTTTCTTGCTTTTTTGCGAGATGCTCTAGAAACTCCAGTGTATCATGGCTCCAAACTTTATAGTAAGTTTTAGCCTTAACTCATAACCAGCTTCTCTTGTGCCTACATCATCCCTTAAGCAGTTATATATCCTAATGTTTATCTCATGCTTCTACTACCGTAACTTCTCAACTAGACTTCTCAACCACTGCCTCCTGTCCGGTAAAGCTCTGCTGGTCTTACAAAGTCCATGTTGCCTCCTCACCACTCATGTCTGTATCTGTTCATGTCAACACTGCTGCCCTCCAGGATCACTCATCTTCTCCTTTCCACACTGTGCCTAGGAATAATCAACTACCACCACGCACAAGCTGAGCAAGCGCAGAGTTCAGTTATGCAGCCAGTCACCCTCAGTGCCTCTACAGCCAATTTCTCTGCTGAGTAAGTAGCCAGTAACTTTCCTTATCATATATACCACCCACACACCTGTCCGCATACCAAAATTAAAATTGTTGTTGGTTCCTGCTCTGGTAAGCTATTTATTCAGCCTTTTTCTCACTTACTACCCAAAAATCTCTCCCTTAAACCTTCAATTACAAGGATAAGGCTCTGTGGACACACATCTCCAGACTACAAACCTCAAAGAAAATAAGTGTTATTTCTAAGCAACATAAACAAGTTCATTTGTAATCCATGACTGCTCTCCTCCAACCAAACCAATTCCTGTACCTGTTTCCACAGTCATTCTTCAAAGTTTTAAAATAGGCCTCAGGTAGCATCTCTTGATTTTACACTTTTTGTGACCATGTCTCTCAAGTCAAAAAGCCCTTTCAACACCTGAAAGAAGCCTACAGAGAACTTTGCAGGTACAAAAGTCAATACGCAAAGAAAAAGAATTTCAGGCTTAAGTATCCGATTAGGGCTGGAGTCAATCCATCCACACAAAGTACGGCTAAGACCCAGCACACAAGCTTCCCAACAATGACACAAGCCTCTTCACTTTCCTGGAGTGCAGAAAAGTCTCTGGAATACTGCTAATTGCCTTCCTTACACGACACAGCTTTCATCAGGATTTCAGTGAAGTCTATAAACATTTCTATAAAGAACCTGTCACAAGTTTGTTCACTCTTCCAGGTTACACAGGACTAATCTGCTGCACTGGAAGCATGGTAATACATCAGTAAACACGACTAATGTTTATACATTTCAGTAGTCCCACAGTCTTCCCAGTAGACTAAGCAGAGATGCGGAAAGCTTTATTAGAAAGGGAATTGTAGCTAAGAGAAACACAGGACCTGGTACAGAAGGACAGATGTGGCTATAGGCGCAGTGTGTACACAGAACAATAATTGTAGTAACCCATCACTTCCTTGAGTACAGGCATTGCTCTTTCACACCATTCTCATACTCACACCGCAGCTTTGGCAGACTGAAGAGGGAACAAGACAGCAGTCAAAGATGACTAAACTCCGTAAGTTTTTGAGACGATATTTGTAGTATCAAATATTCCACAGGTATATTTTTAAAAACCACTGACCTCCTGTTTTCTTTAGAAAAAGAAAAGTTTCCCCTTGTGACTAAACTACAGAGCTGAATACTGATCAACTGCACCCAGTCACAGCTACTTCTGCTGTGCAGACACCGTGCAACCGAAGACCATCCTCACATCTGCTTTAATGAAGAGCGAGTTCTAAGAAATCAACACGCTTTCATAGATTTTAAAATGGTCATGATCGTAACTTCCAGGATGAACACGTCTAGTCTTGATATTTAACATTCAATATTTATTTTTAAATGATGTTGCATTTTTCATTTCTTACCACTGACTAGTTTTGGACAGCTGGTTCAATTTAAAAATGACTGCTATGCTTTTTCTCCTTTTCCTCCCTGCCCCCCCTTTCCTGAAGGCAGATGCAAACACGTCTCAGGTCTTCGCAGTGCTTAGCAGCATCCCTGGCATGGCAACTACCTCTCCTGTGCCCTCCTTTTCTTTTTAAAGTTAAAGTTTCAAATCTGAAGCACAGATAATGTTTACCAAGTACTAAAGCCAAGTATCAGCCCCTTTAGGAATTTCTGTTTTGATAGATAACTTAATAAAGAACAAGATGACATCAGGATTACAAAACAATCTCTTCAAAATACTGAGTATTGCAGAGGCAAGCACAACTTCAGCTTTTCAACTTAATTTTGCTGATGTTCCTTCTGCTTTAAATGTCTTTGAAGAGATATTTGAACTATTACTTCATATAGCCAGCACAAACATGCGTCTCGCAATCCTGGGCACTACTTGAAGACTGGCCTGGGGACAAGAGAAAGAGAAGGTAATAACCCACCTCTCTGCTTGGTATAAAAAAAAAAAAAAGGAAAAGAATTGCTTACAAATACAGCTTTCCTAAACCATCTTGGCCAAGCAAATACATTGTTGCGCTTCCTTTACTCTTTATCTCTTGCTAAGATTTGACACGATTTAATCCCTTAAATTCAACAATTCCTACTCAGTCTTCTTCACTATAAATCCCAAATTGCCCTCCAACACCACAGTAACTATAGGGGCTCCCTGCACAGCAGAGTTTAAGACAGCTGCTAATCAGCAGCACCTGGAATGAAACACAGGCTGAAGGCTAATCTTTTTTTTTTTTTTAAACAATCAGGCAGGATATACAGGTTTATCAGAGCACTCGGGATTTTTGCAGTGCACAGCAGCAAGCCATAACACAGCACTTGCTTGGGCCACCATCTCGTTTATCTGAACTCTGGACAATAACTTCCTAGTTTAAAATAATACTTCTCAGCAGGTTGGTAAAGTTGTGTAAATTTCTCAGGCATTTAATGAGAGAATAAAATTCAGTAGTAATTACAAACAAAGACTTTGATACATTATTATTTTAGTAAGACAACCAATGCCATTTGGGTCACGCTTAATTTTATACTGGCAAAACAAAAATGGTACTACACAGCGCGTTCTCCCCATCAGGACAGGTTACAGACGTTTAGTATGTTACTTTTACCAAGTCATCAGCAATCTCAGAATAATCCTGTGAGTGGCTTCAACTCGGGTCCTGGTGAGGCCGGTAAACCCCCTCCCTGGGGCAGGGCAGAGCCGTTTTGGAATAAACTGCTGCTGCGCCGCTCTCAAGCCCGCTCCCCCAGGAAAGGGACCGTTTCCGCCCGAGCCCGGCTGCCGCCTGCAACAGTTGGGTTTCACTTCTCTAACAGCTCACGGCTCCGGCCTCGCCGGCCCCGG